GAGCACAGGGTAGCTGGGCTTTTGCCCTTTGGGGAGAAAACTGGAACAGCCACAGCTGGGCTCACCAGCTGGGAGAAGGACTCGCTCTGAGCCTCAAAGTGGGGAAGACAAGGGTCAGGACAATGCTGTGGATCTTGAGCACCCAGGCTGAGACAGGCCCTGTTGTAAGCACTTCACCTGGAGTGAAGTCATTTCATCCTCACAGAGAGGAGACTGAGGTTCACTTAGAGGAAGTGACTTACCCCAGGTCACACATTGGTAAGCAGCTAAATTAGAACTTGAACCCAGGCAAACTGGCTCCAGAGTCCCCGCTTTAACCAGTTTCCTCTGAACCTTCCAAGCACAGGATGATAATATACATTAAGAGCATGAACACTGGCTGGAGAACCAGCCCCCCTGTGCCATCCCTAACCTTGTGGCCTGGCTAGACCACCTGGGTGAGCTCAGCTTCCTCGCCTGTAAACTGGGAATAATGACAGCACCCACATCTAGGACAAAGGGGAGGATTACTAATAACATAGTTTGGGGGCCAGGGCTTAGTAACTCCTCCAAATTATGAAACTAACATACGCACTTGGTAAAATCAAATAGTTTAAAAGGGGGGGCACAGTAAAAATGAGTTCCCCCTCCTATTTCACACCTATATCTCCACTCACCAGAGGTAACTACCATCAACAGCTTTTGTGCCACCTTTTAGAAATTTTCCAAGCACATAAAGCCACAGAAGCTGTACGGGATACTGGTTAAGGGCCTGGCCTGCCTGGTCCAAATCCTGGCTCTGCAGCTTACAAGCTACGTGAAGCTGCCTTTCGCTCTCGCAGACAATGCTGCCAGACACATCCTGTTCAACCTGTCACTTGGCACAAGTGCACGAATTTCTCTGCAGGACAAATTCCTGGCAGAGAAATTGCTGGGTCAAACAGTAGCACCCTTGTAATTTCAATTAATTTTTGGATGAGCAAATTCTCACAGCAGGCAAGGGGGAGGGGAAAGAGGTCCACAGAGCAGTGAGGATGAGGGAGGAGCACTATGTGACGTCCTGGCTCTGAGGTCCAGGGAGGGCTGTGTCTGCCGCAGCAACCTGGAGGAGGTGGCAGCTCCCCAGCCCCCCTGGGCAGGAGTTGCAGGGTTTAATTTTAGCCAGATTGTCCCCATAAATGCTTTACAGGGCATTGGTTGATTGGATTAGAAGAGCAGGAGCCCCTAATGAGCAGCAGCTGCTTAACAAAATGCTACAGCAGACACAATTTTCCTTGGTCACCATCCACCATGGCAGCATCCAGGATCTGATAGGGACCCCGTAGATGCCAAGGGCACCTTGGAAGGGCACCCCAGTTGGGCTTGCCTTCTTTGAATATCCCTCCAGGTCCCAGACATCCCAGAAGAGGTAGAGAGCGTGGAGTTACGAGCACAGGTTTTGGGGTGAGACAAAAGGTCTTTTGCAGACGGAAATGACTGTGTGACCTTGAGTTAGTCATTTCCCTCCCTGAGACCTGCCCTCGTGGGGCTGATGGACAGACTGAATGAAGTCAAACACATGAAGTGCTTAGTGTTCACTGCCCGGCACCTAGGAAGACCTAACAAATGGTAGCCTGTTAGATAAAGATGAAGAATAGAGCCAGCTACTCTGGATCGCCCTCTCCCCAGAAGGCCCTGGAACAAGATTAACAGGTGTAGCTTCCCACCCCTTTCTCACGGGAGCATTTTAGTAGTTGCCCCACGCACCTCCCTAGGGAATGCTCCAGATTTCCCGGTCTGTAAAATGGGTTGTGTGATTTATGGTTTCAAGTAAGTTTTAAAGGCCTTGCCAGAATTAATATTCGGTTTTGTGTCTGATCCAAAAGCACAAATTGAGCGTGGGAACCCTCAGATGGGGAGAAGCGGAAGCGTTTCCTGAGCTCCCCTCCCTCATCTCCCATTTATCTGACGTGGGACCGTCCTCCGACTGTCTGAGGAGCAGCGACAGCGAGGAGTGTACCCCATGGATCCAGGCAGTTCCTGACTCGGTGCAGAGCACAGGCTGGGGGTCAGAGGTCACTATTAATTAGCCTCTTCCTGCCTGAGTTGGCGCCTGTGTGAGTTCTCCTCTCCCAGTCTCAGTCCCCTTACTCACCCGTGAACTGCGGATAATACTGGCTCCCCGGCCGGGCTGGGAGAGAATCCAGGGGACTGACCGCCCGCGGCCGCCCGGCGCTCCGGGGACGCGCACGGCGGGGGCGCAGTCCGGTCACCGCCCACCGCCCGGAGGAGGCCGCCGCCCTCCACGCCTCCCGGGCGGATTCCCCCGCGGCCTCCCGCGCGGCCCGGCGGGGACCGGGTGATTGCAAACAGCCGCCGGCCTCATTAGGAGACGTGTAATTAGAGACTGGCGGAGCCGTAGCCGGCGCGGGCTAATTACCGCGGGGAGCCGGCGCCGCCCGCCTGGGCCGCGGGGCTCCCGCCGGTGTCCCGATCCGCGTGGGGCCGGCGGGAGGCCCGTCCCGGTCGGAGGAGGGGGTCCCGGGCCGCCCAACTGAGCTTCCTTCCAGGGGCTGGGCCTGGCGGGGAGGAGCGGATCCTTCACTGGAAACAGTTTAAAAAGGACTCGCGGACGGGACAACGGCGTGGAGACTGCAGGGGGAGGCGGGTAGAGGGGTGACTATAAGGTGGACTAATGGTAATGAAAAAAAATACAGTAAGAATAAATTTAAAATATATATATTTTGCAAGCCCTATGCTAGAGAAATAAAATAACAAACCCGAGTTTACTTACTGTGCTAGGCACTTTGCCCACGTGAACTCGTTTAAATTTCACATCCACCCACGAAGGCGGAACCATTATTTTCCTACTGCACAGATGAGGAAACTGAGATCTACAGACAAGACTCAATCCCCCACGACAGCATGTGACTGCATAGTGACGAAGAGGGGACTCGAACCTGCGTCTCTCCCTTTTTCACGAAGTGGACAAGAGAAGCCCTGCACCGGACATCAGCCTGTAGATAAGAGCAAGGACCTTGGGGACAAAGGGCGTTGAGTTGGAATTCTCCTCCTGCTTCTTACTGAGTGTGTGAATTTGATCTGAGCCCCAGCTGCTTCCCATAAAATGTTGGGATGAAGTGAGCTGAAGGCTAGGAAGTATTAGGGGCGTTATTTTAGGGACGCGAGGAAGAAGGGAGAACTCTGGGGCTTTCTCTACACACTACAGGCCTCTGACGCCCCCTGCTGGTGAAAGGGGGACGGCGGCGAGGCCCTACCTTAAAAAAAGAAAAAAGTTAATGAGGTTGTTCTTGAGTGAGAAGAAAAAGCAGACACTGTTCCCTCAGCAAGGCCAGTGCTCTTCTGCCTCCCCTCATGCCCCTCTTCCTTGCTCAGAATCCCTCCTTTAAGGTGGTGAAAGATGAGATGGGAAAATTGAGGACTCACTTCAGATCTTGCAAATAATCAGTTGTGAAACCTGCCTCCCTTTATGGACCTCACAGGGCCAGCTAAGTCCTTTGACAGTTCAACCACTAATAGTCAGACATAGCTATAAAGACCTAGTCACAAGGGTGCACATCAAAGTGTTGGATATGATAAGAAAACCTGGAAGTAATATAAACATCCATCATGGAAATACGGACCAGTTTAACGGTGGTTCATCCAAAGAATACAATACCGTGTAGCTGATAATGTCGCTAACATTTGACATGAAAATAGTCGAAGAAGAATGAATTTTACAGACATTATGTTGAGTGAAAGGAGACAGACAGACGGACACACACACACACACACACAAACATGCTGTCGGGTATTTACCTAAAATTCAAGAACAGGCAAAACTAATCTTTCATAATAGAAGTCAGAATAGAGGCTACTTCTGGAAAGAATTTTGACTGGGAAGAGGGCATTGGACCCTTCTTGGTAGCTGGAAATGCTCTTAATCTGGACGGTGGTCACACAAGTCTATACACGTGTTAAAATTCATTGAGTTGTACACTTATATGCACTTTATGTATGTTATCTCAATAACACAGTTTTTTCAAGCAGCTAAAGAGTACTAAACAGTATGATTCTATTCTTTAAAAGGAAAATAAAAAAATATATATAACAACATAGGCTAGCAGTTCTCATCTCAAACTGTTTTCATTGTTTCCAGACCCCTTTGCATTCAGATTATTGAGAATCCCAAAGGGCATTTGTTTTTGTGGGATATATAGACACTTATCATGGACATTAAAACAGAAATATTTAAAACACAATACACAATTGCATTAGCTGTTAGAGTGGTAACAGCACGTGTCATGGACCCTCTGGAAAACTTTACTGTCCAATGTGACAGTAAAAAAAGGCAAAGAACATCTTCCTGTTGACATGAAAGTAATTTTGACCTTAGAGTTTTGGAAACCCCCGTGGTCCCCGCATCGCACTTTGAGAACCACTGGTACACGGGAGAAATAACGGGAAAAAATACACCATATGATAAATTATTCTCTCTCAATGATGGGGTTATAATTTTTCTTATTTATTTGTGCTTTTCAGTTTAAAAACTGGAAAATATAACGACAAAAAAAAACAAAACCGACACAACACACCCGCCTCGGTAAGATTGCAGAAAAATCCGAACGGTAATAACCGAGCCCTAATCTGAAAGGGTCCGACTTCACAGGTCAGTCCCTGGCCTGTAAATACAAGAATTCCATCACCCAGCTTTAGGGAGAGAATGCAAGTGCACACACAACTGTATTGCGATGTTATAGAAAGTAAACGTCCCGAGGGACCCACATGCAGCAGCTGTACTGCCTACGCAGTACTGCCAACTCTGGCGTGGAGTAGAAGTACCCATCAAAGTCTCAAACTGCTCCAGCGCGGAGTACAGTACCGAACCTACCAAAGCAGCTGGGAACTCAGCAGTACGCTTGCGCTCTGCAAACGCAAATGAAGGCGGGCTTGAAGGAGACTGACACTGGGCTCAACTTGTCAGCATTACAGCTCCGCCTTCCTATCCTGCATCCCTCTCTGAGTGGCTGCAAGACTGAGGCGGCTAACCCAGTTAGCACGTAGGGAAGCCAGGGGCGGAAGTCGCCATGGTGCGGTTCAAGCACAGGTAAGCGTCCCTTTAGCGCCCGTCCTGTCCCGCTGCCCGTGGCCTTGGCCCCGCGCTCACCTCCCTCTCGCCCGCCGCAGGTATCTGCTCTGCGAAGTGGTGTCCGACGACCCCCGCTGCCGCCTGAGTCTGGATGACCGAGCGCTGTGCGGCCTTGTACGGGACACGATTGCCCGAGTGCACGGGACTTTCGGTGCAGCCGCCTGCTCTATAGGCTTTGCGGGTACGAAGGGGCTGGGGGAACGGGCCGACCGGGCCGGGGAAGGGAACCGGGGCGCCTTGGAGAGATTGGGGGCTGGAGGGAGAAAGGGCACAAGCGACCCCTGGAGCTGCCCAGCTTGATGAACCATCATCCTTTCTGTATGATGTCGTCCTCGTCAGGCGCCTGGGGTCCAGAGCCCCAGTTCTGGCGAGTCCAAAGTTAGGCAGAGAGCTAAGAGCGGAAGACAGTGGAACTGTGGGTAGGAGTCCCACTTTGACGTGTATATTGGGGATTGAGACTAAATTTAATAGGATGGTCAGAAACAGATGAGGGTAGTAGAGTTACTATTGTTAGGTGACTGGTTGGTTACATTGACATCACATGGGAAAACAACAGAATCCTGAGAAGCCCTTAACAGGGCCTGTAAAGTACAGAACACACAATTGTAAAGGGGGAACAGGGCCCTCCTGACAGCCACGCTCCACATGGAACACTGGGGAGGTACATGCACTTAGACACAATTTTATGTCAGTTGCTACAAGAACCTACAGAACCTAGCCACAGAACCATTTTTCAGCCAAGGGTTTCTTTTCTGAGGAAAATGGGTCTCCACCTCTCCACCCCATTTATTGAGTTAACAAATCAGTGAATTAGAACATTTAAAGAAAATCTGAGCCCTGGCTGGTGTGGCTCAGTGGATGAGCACTGGCTGGCGAACCAAGGGGTCACCAGTTTGATTCCCCGTCAGGGCACATGCCTGGGTTGCAGGCCAGGTCCCCACTTGGGTGCAAGTGAGAGGCAACAGACTGATGTTTCTCTCCCTTTCTCTCTTGAAAAATCAATCTAAAACTGAATTCATTCACCAGTTCTGAGCAATGTGGAAGGCCCTGGATATTATCTAACCCCCTTTCATAAATGGTCTGTCCTGAAATGTTTCCTTCAGGAGTCTGTTTTTATTGTGTCCCAAGTGCCACTGCCTTGAACAGTCTCTGGCACATAGTAGACTCTTACACTAAGATTTTTAACTTGCTTCTGAGAACCTCCAGTTTTCCAGAATGAATTGTCTTCCCTGCTGTAGTGCGATACCTCAATGCCTATACTGGAGTAGTGCTACTTCGATGCCGAAAGGAATTCTACCAGCTTGTGTGGTCAGCTCTCCCCTTCATCACGTACTTGGAGAACAAAGGGCACCGTTACCCGTGCTTTCTCAACACCTTGCACGTGGGAGGTAGGAGTGCATGTGGTATGGCTGATTTTCAGTAGGTAATAGGTTCAGAGTTCACTCATGACTGATGGGTGGGCCTTCCTCTCCTGCCGAGAACAAGATGCTCCCCCTAGCTCAGAGTGTCTGAGGCAGACATCTTTCACAAGCTGTTGACCACAAAACTTTCACGTGCCAGGTACAATTAGAACGTGTCAGAAGTTCCTGATTCAGTACAACAGGAGGCAGCTGTTGATCCTGCTGCAGAACTGCACTGATGAAGGTGAGCAACACCAGCCGTGTCCACTGAGCAGTGACCAACCTCTGGCTGAGTAAGAGGTCACACTCAAAAACGCCTTTCATCCGTACTGTCTGCTTTTCTCCAGGAGAGCGGGAAGCCATCCAGAAGTCTGTCACAAAAAGTTGTTTACTAGAGAGAGAATCCGGTGAGGAGGAACTCTCAGATGGTGGTGATGAGGTGGCTGAAGCAATGGAGTGAACCTGTGCAGGCTGTGGGGTGCCCAAGCCTCCGGGCCCACTTGTTGCAATGGGACGTTCTGGGAGGCAGCAGGATCTTCCACTTTCTAGGATCTGCCTTCTCCATAACAAAATGGATGCCACTCAAAGTCCCTGACACATTTGATAGATGTTTCACTTGTGCTTCAATGTGCCCTCTCATCTCAGGCTGGAACACCCTAATCCCCATAGAGTTCCTGAACTGGGATTTCTAAACTGCTTCCTTTTAGGAATGACAAATTAGCCCTGGCTAACTTGGTGGATTGAGCACCAGTCTGAAAACCAAAGGGTCATGGGTTTGATTCCCAGTCAGGGCATATGCCTGGGTTGTGGACCAGGTCCTTGGGGGGGGCGGTACCAGAGAGGCCACCACACATTGATGTTTCCCTCCCTCTTTCTCCCTCCCGCCCCCTCTAAATATAAATAAAACCTTTAAAAATTAAAGTTTTTAATATATATATTAAAAAACAGAATGACAGGTTAAAGCTAATAAGCCCAGCTCACAAACCGTTTTTTTTCAGACTTGACACCAGCAAAGGCATTACTGTGTGAGAGCAGAACTGCTCAACCTCACAGCAGTTGTTACTTAACTATTTGATAAGTAGGCCTAGTTGACCTGAATTTAACTTTAATGAAACAGAAAGCTCGCATTGCTTGTGCAGGTAATTTATTTCAACTGTTTGCCTTCACATCCTATTACACCTAGGGGTTACTTTATTAAGCAGCAAAAGAATTCACATCACTCAAATTTAGCTCAAACCAAAGCATAAGACTACTCTAGACAGTAGGGAGGCAGTGGGCAACCCCACTGCTTTCAAACCTGCCCAGCCCTGCCTCCAGGTGTGCTGGACTCCTGTTCCCACAACTCAGGCTACCGTCGCTTGAAAGAAGTTTGATTTAAAGGCTGGCAGGTCCCAAGGCTTCCTTGGTGACGGTTACAACTTCCCTTGCCAAACGGTAGCCACGTGCAAGAGACAAAACCCTCCATCACACATGCAAGTGCAACCCAGGTCTGGTCCCACACGTCAGCTGGAGAACTGCAATCCGAGCAGGGTACCCACATCCATTTTATTCCCATCCCTGTTTGTTTAAGAGAACTGAACAGATAGAAAAGACTCAACTATTTTTAAAAGACACACTGCTAGGTGTGCAGAAACCATGACGCCCTGATGTCAGAGCAGAGCAGCGCTACCTAACACTCTGGCTTGGGCTGTTCCAAAAAGGATGTTTAAAAAAAACTCAAATTCATCTGGTGTTGTAAAAAACTAATCACACATGGGTCAAAAAGACTACCCTGGCAACAAACTAAACCTTGGCAGGAAGAGATCTCTTGTGAGTGTCAACACTTTATTTTTGGTGTAAAGATGGGAAGCTGGAAAATACACTGTATTTAAAATCTTGGTTCCCCCTCATGTTGTGGAAACCCCCTCCCCCCACCCAGAGCTAATCTGTTCCAACTCAAATACTTAAAAATTACAGCAGCAAAACAAAAGCACAGAAAAAAGAAAACCAAATGGAGAAGGGAGCCTGGGCCAGTAGTGTCACTTGGTGTGGACAACTGAGGTGCTGAACAGAAGCTTCTGTTTCTGTTTTTTTCTTTTCTTTCCTCCTTTCTCTTCTAAATGGAAACAGAAAGAGAGCTTAGCTTAGAATGCCGTCCCCTTGTTCCTGGGCAGTTTTCATTACTGAGACTTGGAGTGGGAGCTAAGAGTGGGGGCCCTGGAATCAGAATCGCTCCACCCACATACCAGTCCTTGCATACCCCAGGTGTTTGCCTTTGGGCAAGTCACTTAATCTCCCGAGACCTGTTCCCTCACGTGTAACACGAGAGTAATGCCCATTTGATATGGTTAATGGGAGAATGAAGTGAGCACATGCCAGGCACACACAGGAGCACACCACAAATGTCAGTGTTACTCTTATCACAAGTACCACTGACTGGGGGGTGGGCTTTGAGCCCAATTTCTGCATCAATTAGCCACCCTTTACCAACCCAGGATTCTAAAATCTACACACCACTACTGTATCTTGGGGGTGGGGATAGAGAGTTCCTCAGAATTTCACATCCAAGCCTCAAGGATTAACCCGAGGTGGCAGAAAGTTCCTACTCAGCACGCCAAATGGAAGGTTAGCTGACACTAAAACTCGGGCCCAAAGGCTCAGGGCAGAGCGCCCGGCCGCGAGGCCTGCCGCCCGTGGCACCCAGCTCTGCCTTTACCGGAGAGGGCGTCCACAGCGGCTGGCGCGTCCAGTTTCATGAAGGCCGCTTCAATAGCTTGGCTGAAGGAATTCTGGAAACTGGGCACAGGAACACGGTCCGAGTTATCACTCTCCCCGTCACTGTCCACAGTGGCAGGAGGGACTAAGCTGTTTTCATCTAAAAAAATACCAGGGTTACAACTCCAGAAACAACTTCAGAGACTTACACTTTCTGAAAGGGGCCAAAACCCCCCTTTACCAGGAGGGACAGCCTCACCTTTTGTTGGAGCAGTTTTGGGCCACACGTCTGCTTTTGCTTTTCCAACCCTCAGCATCTGCCAAAGTGGAAAAGGGGGAAAAAAGAAATCTAATTTGTTAAATAATGAGAACTCTGATTCTCCCTCAACTACTCTTGGTTCCCCACCCACCCACCCCCCTGGTATCTACAGTAATTCTGAGACTAAAGCTATGAGCCTCCCTCTGCAAAAAGGTCCATGAGCATTAAAATCTGTGAAATATTAGCCTGTAAGCCTCCCCTTCTGCAACAGGAATTTCCAGAATGAACAAGCAGTAGAGTTCCTGTAAATATCCTCGGGCTGTTTCACAACCAAAGGATTTACCTGGGCAAAAGAAGGGAAAGGGGCATCTTCTTCCAGACTCCCAGTGCAGAATGAAGGGCTGCCCTGACTGGCGGGGGGTGACACAGGGGTCAGCAGAAAGTCTGAAAGAGAACCAGAGACCTGATTATCTGAGTCAAGTCCCAATGAAGCGGGAACCCTGAATCAGGTGTGGACAATTACCAATCTCACCTCAAAAAGCAAACCTTGATCCAAATTCAACTCTGCCATGTTCTCAAAAAGCCAAGAGTGTGGCCTATTATTCACACCAGTGATCACTACATAGAAGTGTAGTTTTTACAGTAACACGGAAGGCGGAATCTATTCGCACAGTAAGAAAAGTGCTTTCCACATTGGCTAGCTCTCAGGACCTAGATTGGGACTGTTAGGATCTGGTTTTAAATAGATGAGAAAGCTCCAAGTAAAAGATATAAAAAATTTACTCATGTCAGACTTTGTGTTCCAGCCGTCGGATGTCTATGACTTGGAAATATTCAGTTAAAATCCAAACACACACATCAACCAAATCCAGAATGAAGATGCAAGCTTCTCCTCACACTGCCTAGGGAAGAGTCCTCCCCGTCCCTCCTGACCTTACGTCTCCCACAGACCAAGTCTACCCACTGTCTTGACCACAACTGGGAGGGAGAAGCATGTTCACTCCACTAGAGGCAGGCCCTCCGTCACCAGCCAGGGCGGTTCAGTACTCCTGTTCCTAGGACCCCCCAACTGCTCTTGAGTAAATACACTAAGGCCCACACCTTCAGAAAAGGGAGCGTGTGAAACACAGTTTTTACACCACAAGTGACGGGCTGATGTCCTCCGTGTTTCTTTGGATGGCCGCTCTCTTTTCAGCTGAAGGCACTCTTCAGAGCGTCATGGCTGTGTAGCCCTCCAGATTCAGGTTCTAGTCCCAGTCCCTGCCACTACCCGAATCCCTGCCTTAGCCTCAGGTTCCTCATCATGACGGGCATGTGATCACAAGGGTAAGGAGTTTTAAACTCTGATCTTGGACATTTTGTTTAAAATACCTGACAGAGAAATAAATTTAAAGTATCACAATATGTTAGGTGGATGAAGAGAAGAAATGATATCTAAAATTATAGCAACTCTTTCTCAAGTGTTTAATTTTGTAACACTGTAATACCTTCTCTCTATATGAGGAAATAATATCTTTAAAACACTAAAGGCCTCTGAACAACCTCTCAACCGCGGTCTCACTCCCTAGGGTGTAACACCATGACCAGTTTGGAACATAATCATCCCAATATTTTTCTATACATTTATATATACAAACCCATAATGAAATGCTTTTTTGTGTGTGGTTTTTCTTTAAACCCACAAATGGTATCATGTTTTGTTTTGTTCTACAACTTCCTTTTATCTTAAAGGTCTACCCATTAGTTCATGGAGAAAGCTATTTCTTTCTTCAACAGGTGGAAAGTAGCACTGGCTGGTGTAGCTCAGTGGATTTAGCACGGGCCTGGGAACCAAATAACCACGGTTCGATTCCCAGTCAGGGCACATGCCTGCGTTGCAGGCCAGTTTCCAGCAGGGGACACACGAGAGGCAACCATACACTGACATTTCTCTCCCTCTCTTCTTCCCTCCCCCTCTAGAGATAAATAAATAAAATCTTTAAAAAAGATAGGTGGAAAGTATTTCAAAACATAAATACTGTAATTTAGCCATTTACCTACAAACAGACTTTGAAGACCATTTCTCCCCCCGCACCCCTCCACCTATTATAACAACGCTACAACAAGGAGACACACAGAAACATGCTCAGCACACAGGGGGAGTATCTCAAAGGCAAAAACTAGCAATAAAACAGCAGGGTCACAGGGGAAAATCTCTATGTAACTACCCTGCCACAGGAGGTGCTTTGAGGTTTTTAGAGGCTGAGGCATCGAGTACTCAGTACAACCAATGGTAAAAGTGAATCAAATGGCAAGAATCTGACGTACTTCAGGAACATACTATCCAAAATAAAGCTAGTCACCTAAAGACCCCACCACGCCGAACACTTCAGGGTTGTAAATTCACACACTAGGACTTTGCTTTAAGGTCTGTGGCTAGCGGCCAGCTTCATTCTTTACACCCCCACTTTATTTACCTGCTTGGGAACCTGGACTTCTGCTAAGAGGAGAAATGGGGAAAGCCCCATGGCCCTCAGTGCTGGTGGGACCCAAAGCAGGATCGGAGGAACAAGTGTAGGAATTGAAGGCAGGAAACTGCTGCAGATTCTCTAGGGGTATGTGGACTTCTGGGTCTGCAAAGAAAAGATGAAAATGGTAGGCCCCTTTACAGTTTCCTCAAATCTTTTTCAAACAGGTGAGGACAGTCAAAACAACTCCCCCAGGGGAGTAGGATGTAGACAAGAAGCTTTAAAACCCTAATTTATAACTGTCACCTTAGAGACTAAAGGTGAGATTAATGATCCATCCAGAGAGCACGGGGGACAATTAACCCCAGCATTCAGATCTCCAATTCTCTCCCCCACCAGGTTTTTGCACCAACTATGCCAAGGATGAATTGAATCTTACTCCT